CTTCGTTTTTACTCGAAATCACAAGCATTTTTCCAAATTTAACAAAGTTCTCAGTGTTTCGCGTGAACCAAACAGGAAAAACATGTCAACGAAATTTGTGCTTTCTAGAAACCTGTCAATGATAACATATTTCCGATGTATTTTGCTTCTCTAATCTTCTCCATTGAGTGGACTTTTTTAAAATCCGCAAAAGTACACTATCATGTTCAAGGTCTAGGAACGATGCCAAATCTATCTTTCTCCTTAGACTTAGGTAACTTCCTCAGCCATATAATCAAATTAAACCAAACAATCGTAACTTGGATCAAGAGTGTATCTGGCTCACATCCATGATCGCAGGTTTCTCACAAGTTTCCCGCAACTTTCCCGCGGTTTCGTGCTCTAATCACGCTTTGTGGTGATATTATAAATTGCCTGTCGATGATTTATTCCTGGCTTAGTTAATTGTATATGCAGCACTTTATGTCAGACAAGCTCCTTAGTTTCGTTACGCACCCTTCTGAAAGGAATGAAGAATTTGATAGTGATCATTACTATTTCTCCAGTTACTCGTAATTCGTCTAGAAATATCTTTGCTCGTTGTGCACTTATCCCTATTTTCTGGGGGTTTTCTCCACGATTTGTTCCAGTCGCGGTGTTGTTGGAATTGAGTTGCAATCACCTTCAACCAAAAGGACTGTAAAATGGAGTTCGTGTAAACCACACCGAATATTCCGCCTGAGGCAAGGATGTGGGTGACATCCAATAGATAAGAATTGATAAATGAGTTCTCAATAGTTTTTTTTTTCAAGGAGACAATCCGGCTTTTAAAATAAGATTTTAAAATTTATTGGCTCTGGGATCGATTTCAGTTGACCTGTTATTTACAGACATCACTGAGGTAAATGAAGCAAGCTTATCAAAGTTTTACAGTTCGTCATATTATTATATCAAGATTCTAATGTTTGGTTTTCATCGTTAATCCTGATTTAAAGTAGTGCAATTTAACGCACGAATTGTATCATTTAGATGAAGCACTGAGCGTGTGAAATGCAATCTTTGCAATCACCAGCAAGGTGAAATGCAAGGGTGAATGGAAAAATATTATCACAATCAGCTTATGTAAAGACTTTGCTGCGGAAAGCTTGAAAAGAGGACGAACATAATTCATAACACGTGTAAAGGTATACGCTCATGTAAAGACATCACTTTGACATTTTCAGAATGATCAAATTCTCAAGGATAGAAAAACTAACATATTTTCTGAAGGCTGGCAAAAGCTGTTTGTGTTTAACACAAATTCACTTTGGCAGACGGGTTAAAAGGGGCACCCTAGCTGTCAGTCACAAAACACAAGAGTCTATCGGCGAGTTCTGTATCAGGACCCCTCAGTTATAAACATATTCAACACAATCTTAGAGCCACTTTAGGTGGTAGAGTTTCAGCCGTTCAAAAAGCAAAGAATCCCATTGTATGGCTTTCGTGAGCTAAGTAAGCGTTGAAAAGAAGGGGACACACCCAATTCTATTCATTCCCGAATGGCAAAGAATCCCTCATTTGCTTATGCGAACCAGACTTAATCGGACAGCTCATTTGTTTTATTCCGGTGTGGTTTTTTGAAACCTTTTTACATTAATTCTGCCGTGTAATTACCAATTTCCCTCGGTGTTTCACAAGTTGATAGAAGTAATGCTGACTTAGGTACCCTCCTGTTTGATGCACCGACATTTCTAAAAATGGCTTTCTTTTGTTTGAAAATTTATTTGAACTGAAAGACTTTGGCTTTTTTTCTTTACCGAAGTAAGTTCTTTTCCACCAATGGAATGTCCAATCTCAAGTCATTTTGAAATGAAAACTGCGACGAGGTCTGTTCCCACGACACCAAAGTTTAACGCCAATGGAGTTTGTGGAGTTTATTGCATTTTGTGGTTTTTTCAACATCTTTAAATGTACTTACTCTTCAATAAAGCAGTCTAATCTGAGCAAAAGATCGGATTTTACTGCTCTGGGATTTCCGTTTAAAAATTTAATTAACCACTAATTGAAAAGGAAGATTTTTTCACAACTGACTACAACAATCTACGTTGCTTTTGTCGGAAGTGAGCATTACGACGCAACTTGTGTGTTCTGTGCAACAAACAAAAGAATTTTTGCAATAACCTGCGAAATAAACGAAATTCCTACTAGGAGATGAAAAATTCTATGGTTGACAAAGTATTTCAAAACGATTTGAGAATTTCGTCTTAATTGACTTTTCCTAAATTGCTTTACTAAGCCACTTTGTTCGTGGTTTTCAGGTAATAAGTTTACGAGCGCGCATGCATTGACAGGGAACAGAAAAGAATTCTGGCTACCGTAAATTTCAAGCACAAGTCGGCTTCTAATTTGGAGGAATCTTATTTCTTACTGTTTCGGTTTAGATGTAGAAAAATTGTTTTTTTCTAGTCAACTGACTGCTTGCAATTTCTGTTAAAATTTAATGTAGAATTTGGACTTTCCACAGAACTTTCTCTTATTTCAAACCATTAAAATTGGTTTCGTAGCATTTGATACCTAAATTTTCAATGATGTAGTTTGAATCGTGAATTTAGTTACAATGTAGAAGAAAAGCTCCGTTGTTGAAGTTTTTCGATATCGATACAATGCTTAACTTTCGTCCAATATTTCGCATATCGCTCATAATCCTTCTTGAGATTAAATGTTGTCTAATTCCGCCTTTTGTAAGTGCTTCCGTACTCCAATACATTAATATTCAAGACATAATTTCAGTTAATAATTCCTTCCTGAGGTCAACTGATCTGATTCCGATAGTTCACAAAACCGGCCGGAATTAATTTCTTTTCGGTCTTGACCTTCGAAGGAGCATTGTTGAGATTAACTCAGGATTGTAAAAAGTTAGAGGATGCCTTTCTGCACAATTTCTTAGATGGTAGTAAAGAAAGATGTAAAATATAGAACACCAGAATATCTTAAAAAAAGAAATTTTTCAACAATGGGAAGAAAAACTAACTTTCAACCGACAGTCAAACAATTACGAATTTGATTGAACAAATATTCGCGTGATACCTTTCCAGACGTTGAAGAGAAATCACTTGCCTTAACATGTATTAAAGCTAGACTTTGATTTCTGTCAGTTTTCTTACAAATGAAAGCCTCTCGGTTACTCCCTCTTGAAAACTGAGTTCGTTATTACTTTATTTCTAAAGAATTTGGAAAATTGCGCGGATGAAAAGGCATTGATAAACAAAAGGTTCACCGCTTAGCGTTACAGCTAGAGTCAACCGCGTAACCTCACCAACTGTTGATTTTATTTTTAGCCCGGTAGCTGTTATCAAAATCTTGGAGATGATAGCGATAAGTCTTTTCTCTATAAAAAGGTATGTCGAACCTCTAAAGAAAGCGGCATGACCGAATTATTGATAGCTGGACTGTCGGCAAGATAAGGTATGTGTAGTTCATCTATAACCACTGATGCGTTATCAGCGCACGCTGCTTTGTTCAAATATACTTCAAACGGATATTTGACAGACAGATTTAGAAATTAATTTCCCTTGCAGTGGTTTACAATAATAGGAGCCAAACAAACTAATATGTTCCTAGCAGGCTTTGCGATCAAGCTTTAGAAGCTTTGCTTTTCAAGCGTTTTTATACAAATGCGTGAATATTTTCGACCGTTACACTAATCTGCCCTAATTCGTGGGTGATACTGGAATGAATTTTACAGAAAATACCAAAATTAAACTTTCCCTGATGTCGTGTAGCATTAAGCGAAACACTAGTAGAGTAATTTATGAGAAAGGCGGTCAAAAACAGCAATCCACTTGACAAAATAAACATTTTGCCCCTATGCAACAGTTGTAACTCAACTTAATCAGTATTCACTGATGACAGGTTTAAAGCCTGCCAGCTTTCTCTATCCTTGATTCGATTTCCTGTGTTTGACCCCAAGTTTTAGGTTTCTTTGGACTCCCAACTTTGAAAAAACAAATATTCTAGAAATTGAGCTGGCATTTGCAGCGGATACAAGTATGTGATTACAATTCAAATAGTCTGTGAACTGAAGAAAAATACGAGAAAAATGAGCCGTTACTCTATGTGAGTGTGATTCTTGCAATGAATGTTGACCTAAATACATTATCTTTATTTTTCCACGCGCCGTTGAGATGAATAGCTGTTTTTGAAAATCTGAAATGATTGAATAGCTAAGTGTAGCAAAGCTTTCAACACATTTCTCTAACTAGCCTTGTCGCTGGACATTTAACGAAGCAAATTTTGCTCGTTTAAAAAGCAATATTCAGTCCGCATAATGATTTGTACTTAAACAGCTCACAAATTTCTCCTGCTGATAAAATAAAGTTTCTGGATAGTCGGATACTTTGTTAAAGCTGTACGCTTTTCGTTCACAGTGGCTGTCATCTGTTTTCTACATTACGATAAAAATTTAGTTTCCTGTAACACAGAATAATCTAGAAAGCTTAAAATCTTTTTCCCTTTTAAGATATTCGAAAGCCAAATAAATGACTTTTTCGTTACATTGAAGAGAACATTAAATTTTGCCAAAATTCCAAGATGACATAATTTTTTTCACTCCTCGTTTCCCACTATACTCCACTTCGGCTTTGCTCATAATTAATTCTAAGAATTAGCCATACAGATAAGTATTTTTTTAGTGTAAAGTTTACCAAATATTCTCGATAACAGTAATGGAAAAAAGGTAATTATAACTCAAAAGATATTCCCTCAAACCGGGAATGTCTGATTCCAAGAAATTATCCATGCTTGGAATAAGCTTCAAGGTTGAAATAATTTATTTTTGTGGATATAGTTTGACTTTGATGCACAGTGTAATCATTTATCTAAGTTAAACTCGCTGTGCTTGGAATAAAAAAAGCTGCAAGAGGAATGAATTGTTTTGAAGTCTGCGACCGCAAGAATGTTATACTTTTTGTTTTTAATATTGTTTAGTGAAAAACGCAATAAAGGTTTAGTTTTTGCCTCTTGTCAAAGCGCACGGCACTTACCGATCTCCCAAATGACAGCTTTTGACTTGAGTCACAATCCAAGCGTCCGTGTCTTGTCTTCCTGTAACAACAGGCCCTGCACGATATGGTTCACTATCAAATTCATTCAAGGTTTCCTGTCAGAGGAACGAAAAAAGAAACTACCATGGAATACGTGTTTTGAAGCTGATAAAAAGTTCCTACGTCTGACCGCAATGTAATCAAAACTCATGAAACTTGATTCTTGGTCACTGGCAGATGTTCAGTAGGTTTTGCCCTTGATGCACACGCGGGTCAAATGAACCGATTACAAGGCTTGTTTCCTTAGCTGCATTACATCTTCGCAAGGAATTTAATAATCTACAACAACGGAAACAAGCTTGACTATTTAGGTAATCTAAAATCTAATTCATACGTTGCTACGCGCAATACCTTTTTTTGTTGATTTCACGTTCGCGTTTCTTCCGGTGATCGACCAAAAACCCTTTCGCTCGAGATTTCGTCGCGTCTGTGTCACTTAATAAACGCGTCACATTAGCTATGCAAAAACAGCTTGGATTTGATTGAAAGGGGCTTTGGTACCACTTTACAGGTTGCGAATGTTTGTAGATCGTCAACAATACATTGTTGTTGATGTGCGAGAGCTCCATTGTATACCGCGGGAAAAAGCAAACATGGTAGCAGAAGATGGCCGAGAGGTCGGGCAAAGTTTACATTTGAAAGTGCAAAATTAATTACGCTCAGCAGTTTTAATTGTACACGGAAAGAAATCGTATTTAGCAATTTTCAACTGGATCGGCTGCAATCGTGGCTCAACTCTCTTGGGTAAATCGAATTGTCTTGTGTCGTCTCAATTTACTTGCACGGCGATTTAATTATCTCCCGAAGCAATTTCCATAAACAAACTCTGGGGGCTCAGATTAAGAGCACAACTTGTAACCAACTAACAATAAACGAACAAAATTTGATACACAAATTTTGCAAATTAAGCTGGCTTGTGTTGCCTTCCGAAGTTTGCTGAATCAGAAAAACGCTATAATTTGCATACAAGAGAGACACGAACTAAAAAAGGAGTTTTGTTTCAAAAGTTTTCATTAGTTATTCTTTATCTGTACATTGCATAGTACTCTAGGTTTATTATTTTTTTTACTCTGATAGGACGACCTCGATAAAACCATCGACCGTAAGGCAAAAAATTAAATTCCTCCCGGTAATCTACAAGATCAATGTGTAACTTTAAGCTGTAGCAAAAATATGCAAACTTTTTTGGAACCCATATTGAGTTTTTTAATCAACCAAATGAAACTTTCAGAAATTTGTTTGCGCGCGTCTCCCTGAAGATGATGCGAATCTTATTCCTCTCCATCCCTCCTATTTGTCATCGTTTGTGTCTTCCATTTGATCCAGTTATTTTCTAGGTTACCTCGACACCGAAACTATTTTACTCTACCGGAAAAGTCATTGTAACCTAAAGTAAACGCGAACGACTGTCTAAGTTCGCTGCGCACGTGTGCTAATAGCTCTTGAAACTGTTGCTTCAAAGCTATTTCCGGTGCTTTGTTTGAGTTGTTCAGACATGCACTTGCACCAGCGAATTGACTTTTGAGAAGATGTATTCATTGAGCGACTTTATCTCGCTTAATAGTTTACAAGCTCACATCTGGAAAGATATTCTACTTAATAAACCACCATTTTGCTTGCGCAAGACACCGAACTAAATTTGGTTAAAATTACTTCGAGGGAAGTTTCTATTTACAGCACTTCATGAAAGTATAAATACACCAGCAGGTAAATTGACGAAGTTGATCAAAGTTGGCTCGAGATTTTTAAAGTCGATTTAAGTTGCAATGAGGTCTTTGCTGCCGCTTTCCCATACCCGATTTTTAGGTTTACAGTATTTTTGTAAGCAAAGAAAACATAGATGTGTCCAAACACAGGGGAATTTGTGCAGCACTTCATCATCAGACGTTAAAAACAATCAAAGCTGGCAAACAAAAGCTGACCAAAACTAAAATAATTTGGATTTCCAAAATAAAATTTTTTCTCAGAAGTGGTGTGCGGGTTAATGGAAAAAAAAAAACTAACTGTAACTTCGTTACAACATTTTTCTCATTTTACAGCTGTTCCTTGTAATATTGTTGTAACATAGTGGTTAATTACTATTCTGTGGTTTGCAAACTGTCGAAGAAATCTTTACTTCAAAAGCTTTCTTTGCGCAACTTACCAGAAACTTACCGCATGTAGGTCAAAGAGATAAAATCTTGCAAACCTTGCTAACACACACGCGACCGACTTGAAAACCACATCAATATTCACAGCGAGAGGTGATAGGCACCGTTGTTTTGACTTGTTATTTCAGAAGCAGGCAGCGCCGTGGTTTCGCCTCGCCCGGAAACAAAATAATCAAGTGTGGGAAAGAAGTCAAAGGAGGCAGTGAATCCTACATCCTGGGCGATCTTTGCGGTTTTAGGAGCTAGTCGATCTGTTAAATTTAGCGCGTTGATAAATCAGCCCTGAGGCGCCACAAAAGCCTAAAAAAGGCCGATTGGAAGAAGAATCAACTTAAGATCGTAATCATTCTTTAGAAATAAATTTGACCAGTTTCTATCACACAAATTTAACGAGGAAACTACTAGTTGGCCAATTAAGCTCGATTCATTTCTCGTAGTTGTTGCTCGTTGTGGAAAACCTTCTGTTTGGAAAATAGAGAGCACTCAGTCCAAGTTCACAGTACGTTACCTTGATTGTAAAAAGAAAAAACCGAGACACTTCACAATTTAAAATTTAGCCCTATTTCAGGGTGCGGCTCCGATTAGTTTAGATACGGATAACTCTAAAGGTTCTTTGGCACCCGGTTGGCTAAATTCTAGATTCTATATCAAAAGAGACAAGCTTTCTCAAAACTAAATAAACGCTAAACTTTGAATGACTTATTTGTTTGATCTTACCGAGATAAAAAAAAATGTGACTTTTGTTTTTGGTGATTGAATCGAATGTGTAACAAAACTGATTAAAAAAACATGACATGGATGGTGAAGACAAACATAGTTTTGTGAAAACAGGAAAACAGGAAAAGGGTGTTACGACCTGGGAGACCATGAATTGAAGCAAAATTGTCAGATATAAAGGAAACATTCAAAACAATTAACGCATCAGTGAAACCGCATTAGAAAAATTGTTGAAGTTCAACCTGACTGAGAATGACAGGAGATGGATTAAAAACAACAGGCGGATAGAGAATAGAATACTCTTTGGTCTCTTTGAGGAGATGTAGATAGAGTCACCAGTGGCTCATGGGAAGGAACAGGGTTAGGAAGATCAACTGAAATAGTTGTCCGAGAATAGAATTTTTAAAGTCAAAACAAGAAGTGGCCTTGAGAATGACTTGAGGAAACGTCAGTACCGGAACTAAAAACGCAATGAACTCTTAGCTAGGAACGAGGTTATATGAAATAAAATTATTGATTTAATAGCTCAGTCAAGACTGGAATTCAGAGGCCACTGAAAAATATACACTTTAAGTTAAAATTTTTTGAACTCGTGAACTAAACTGCCTTCAAGCTTTATTAAGGTAAACCGGTCTAAAATTTGAAAGTTTTTTACTTAAATAGGGCAACTTCAAGAAGTTACTCGGTAAACAATCTGTTTTATTAGACCATTCGATTGTTAATTTTCACGCTCTCCAAAACAGTCGACGTGTGTTTTAAACCTTTTTTCTTCAACCTGATTTCTTTTAAGTTGTAATCTTGGGAATCTCTATATTGCTACTGAACGTGATGAACAGCGGCTTATCTTCTCTCCTATTTATGCGATCTATTTAAGTAAGTATCAGATTTACTAACAATCACCACACTTGGATTTGAATTTTTCAGTGCATGGTCAAATAAATCTTTCGCACTTCCTATCGTCATTTGCTTGAGAAAATCAATGTTTTGAGCGCTTTTCGATTAAATATCCAGAAACCAAACTCGATGGAAGCAAAGTTATCAATGACCAATCAGAACAAAACAAAAATAGGAAGCCATTGAAAAACCAGTACTCTCATGTAATCGGCATTAAGCGCGGGAAACGCGAGCTGAAGTTATTCACTTTTCATCTGATTGGTTGAGAAGAAGGAACGAGTTTCCTAAACCAACTACGAAGCGAACCGAAGCGAAATCAGTAAACCCAGATTTCTTTTCACACTCAGCTGAAACATTTTCCCTTTAAATTCTGTACGATCATTTTGAAAAAATCAAACTATCAACTTGCCTTTCTCATGAAGATCCTTGTCACCTGAAAGACGACAATTTCCTTAATGCTACAGCACGCTGAAGTTTACACCGACGGATCCAATATGGCGCGTTTTTCACACCAATATTATAAAGTACTTTGCTTTTTTGGTTCAGGGGGGTATGAATTAATGAACAAAATTTATTTAAAACGGTGTCAGTTGCTACTAAAAATAAAAATTTTCTGGTATTGATCAACCACAAAAGGCAGAAAATGCCGCCAAAGGATGTATCAATTTCTTAAAAGAAACATTTCGTGAATTACAGCGACATAAACACAATATAAAGCGTATGATAGTGCTTATGTTTGCGCTGAGGCCACTGAACTCCTAAGTATCTTTTACTTTGGTACGATAGCTTGTCGTGATCTCGATTTATTTCTGCGCATTCGGTGCAAACTTCAACACAGCTGAAGAAATCTAACTCAGCGATTTATGCAATGACAGTTGTGGTACAGTTATTAGATGTTTGATAAAACGCCATCATATTAGCTCAACCTCATAGTTGCGTGATTATGAATATTCGCCCACGAATATTCACAGCTGTAAACTTCTTTGTGCCTTTGTAAAACCCTTGGATGTGAAACAGTTGACCGCAGCAGTAGGCTGTGATCTCAATCAAGCCTCTGTTTAAACTCCCCAGTAAGAAATAACCGGAAAACTCTAAATACAATCTGTACCTACTTGAAAAAGGGAGTTTTCAATCACCAGTAACCAAATGTAGTTCACTTCAAAGGTTTACCGTCGACAAGTGCCTATTCATGATAACCCAATGTTACTGAGAGCAGCTGAAAGCTATCACTATGTAAGTGAGCAATGGAGATTGAGTGATTTTTTTTCATCCACGCCAAAAATGGACAATACTCAGCCGCGAAGTCTAGGCGTCAGGACGTACAAACTGGTTTCCGGCGCCTAAAGCCCTTTTTTTTCCTTTTACCTCTCAGGAACAGGAAATATGGGGCGTAAAAGCATAGAGGGATGGGAAATAAGAACAGAATCAACAACCTATGCAAATTACGCAACTCGATAAGAGACATGATGTTAATCTCTTGGGCTAAGAATTTCAATATATTTTTCGGCGGAGGATTATTAAGAATTAGCTTCACTCCGCTGTAACTGACTCACTGAGAGAAGCCATACGCTCACGTTGACTTCTATAACGTTTCCCAGCATGGACAATTCAAGCAACTAGCATGATATGTTCTTGTTAATGTTTTATCTCAGGGAAGCTTTCAGCTTGAATTATTACTGAGTAAAAGTGAGACAATACTTCGCTCTTAAGTTAAAAAGCAATATTTCAAATGTCAAAATTTGAGGTGTATTTCTTTTTTCCACTTAAAGTTCTTGGTTATTTGGGGGAAATTTCACTCTTGTCTTAAACTTAAAAGATCATTGATGCTGTTAATGATTCTTTTTCTAATCTGCATTCATGTTTAGAATTTTTTCCTTTCATTTCTTTCCCAAACTGTTTAACCCTTATCTAAATGAAAGGTTATAAAAGTTTTCCTTCTCAGAAATCACAAATTGTGCAGGTATTATGGCATTTCGATTAAACCGACAGTCCAAAAGGTTTTGAGCATCAAACACACAGCAAAAGACTTGTTTAACACCTTGCCAATTAAAACTGACAAATATGGCTTTGAGATTTGTTTCTTTTGCACTCGATCTGTTGTGATCATGTCAAGCCCTTGATTCTACATAAAATGTTGAACTCTGGAGCCGAAAAGCGTTCGAAGTGGCGTTGAATGGGTCAAACTGTCTGCATGTCGAAACCATTTGGCCGACATTGTAAATTTTTATAAAAGATTCTATTGTGTTCTTTGAAGTTCATGCCTGGGTGCTTGCGAAAAGTCAGTGAACCTTGGAATATTTATGATTTCAGTTGCAAATATTGGTCTGTCAGTGTGGGAAAATGGAGAACAACAATTTTTGAACGTTAAAGTGTCTTCAGTATTTCCACAGAACCCCGTAAAAACCTGACTTTATTACGATATTAGCTTCATCGAGGGGAAGTTGGTAAAACAACAATAACGATTTCGTATCCAAATGTAAAAAAAGATCAGAGCGAATGTCTCACTATAGAGCTCAATCATTAAAATACACGGAAGGTCTTTGAAAAACGTAGGTTCTTTACCCCCACGAAAAGCTTTTCACTCTATACATCATAGAATTTCTGATCCCGTCTTTTTTTGGCTTCGAAAATTGTGCCAAATTTACTTGACTTAAAGTTGTAATTGTATGTCGCTAATTTTCCGTTCGATTTATGTAAGTCAGCGTGAGTTTAAAAACACTATTCAAAGACGAAAAGAGCGTTACAAGTCATTTACACAGCTAGATAAATTTCGCTGTCGCAAAACTCCAGGAATTACAGTTCGAACTTTGCTGCAAATTCGCAGAGTAAACAAGACACCTATGCCAAAAATGTGTCGAAAGATCTGAACAAGAAAAATTGTACCATACCTTTTAAGCTGCCACGAGCGGTCAATATATATCAGAGTCGTCTTTAGAGATCTCTTGTATTCAAGAGAAAAATTCTCCTTCCTGAGCTGTAAACTTTCTTATGTTGTTTCCTCGCAAAGCCCTCCAATAGAAATCTTCAACTCCCAAACAGTTCTTGCTCGAACAGCGAGATAAAAATTTCAGCCACTGGTTTGACTTCGTTGCCACCGTCAGACAAAGAGCGCGTAGCTTAACGATATGCAAACGTTGCTCCAGGCGATCAGGCGGCGACTTTTCTCAAAATGTCACAGAACAAAGACTTTATCTTAGTCGCTCAAGGGTCTTTGCACTTGCGCTGTAGTCGAAAGAAAGTTTAAGGCACTTTTCTCATTTAAATGCAGTGTTTTCAAAACGTGCTTTGACAATGGACCTAAAAAGCCATTTACAATACTGTAAATGTGTTTTGTAACGCCTCAGTTCACTCGCGAAATTAACGTCTTTGATGGGTTTTTGCGGTTTAGTAGTGTTTGAAAGCAAATAGATCATGTTTGACTTTTCATAAAACCAGAAAAAAAAATTACAAAAGCCAGTTAGTTTTACACATGTTATTTTTGCCGGTATCTTTCTGACGTTATTTTGTTCAAATACTGAAATATACACTTGTCGCTAAAATAGAAAATTACTTGAAATGTGCCATGTTGGTAGAATTTTGAAAGTATTTAGCAATACAAGTTTTCTCGCGTGCGCCGTATTAACGACCTTTGTTGCAATATCAGCCGTCAGAGTCTTAATTTACTTCTTCTATGTTCGTCATGCTCGGCGGAAAATTTGTGAGAACTTTTTCACAACAGGGGAGAGCTGTTCTATTCACCTGCTGCTCAGTTCAGTGTATTTTTGTAAGCTTTTATTCAGAACAAAGAACATGATCCAGAAAACTCTTTATTCTATTTTCCAGCAATTAAAGGCATTATCCTAAAACAAATCGAAACAAAACGATCCACCAAATTCTTTTTTTAAAAAGAAAAAGTTTCAATCTAATGTTTTCCTTCGAAGATGGAGAAAATTTGAGATAAAATTTAGCTACTGGCTAGCGAGACCTCGGTGCATAGTTGTTTCACTATTTTACAATAACAATATTATGAAATGCAAGTCTGTTACATTCCGAATTTTTTTGTAATTGGCCGTTTCAAAGTATTTTGAAGCACCAATTTTGCAAATAGTTTTTCTTTTTTGTATTAAAAAGGCGAAGGAGAAACCTTCTCTATGTTGTCTTTGTTGTAGCCCATGTCGAAAGTGGCGATTTTGCGATGTTCCGCTCACAGAGGTTAAAAGAACCTCGTTGGTGACTTAATTCGTACGTGATACGCCTTCTACATCGTGTTAATCAAGTGTTTGAAATTGTTTTCCGGATTTCTAAATTAACTTCGGTTATTCTGAAAAACTCCTTAACCTTCTCGTCGCCAACTCTAAGTGGATACTTAAATTTCTCCGCCTCTTTACAATATTTTCCAACCAGATTGGCCCAATATGAAATGACAACATTTGTACTTGGATTTGAAGGATGCGTTCCTTCCTAAAACTGCAGCTGGTTCATGCATTGCAGCTGAGAATTAGCCCTTAGGCCTCTGAAGACAACGCTGTCTAGTTTGCCGTGTGAAGCATAATTTTAAGAGTGCCTCATGTGAGACAAATGCACCGGTCAGTTCAATGGCCAAACACTTGCCTTTTTGTGTTACAATTGAAAAAAGTAAGAGCAATGTTTTTGCGGCCGACAAAACCTTGAACTAACACCCAACGATCTGAGCTCTTGAAACCTGCTTGGTTAGTTTAACAAGATTAACGTAAAAGTGAATTGCAAACCATCGATGGCGTGAGAAGGCGTAAATAGCTTGAAGTGTGTTTTTGATTTTGCTGTGTATTTACGCCAATTACAGATTTCAAACATGAGTGCAAAGTATTGTGATGTTAAATAAACAGAATGTAGCCTGAAGCCATCCGCACTACGAGAAGCTATTTCCGGAAATTCTATTCAAGTCCTTTCAGCTATGATGAGCGTGACCTGCCCATTCAAAGGTGTTAATGCTCATTAAAGACTTTCCGGTGAGTGAGTAAAAACGCGTGTAAAACTTTGAAAACAGCTTTTACAGTCAACAATGATAAAATGTAACACTAAGATATGTTATCATTTGGGTTGTCAGTACTAAATAACTTAACTATGGTCAACCGAATGGACGTGGAAACTAAATTTATTTGGTCGTTTTGAGAGATCTTTTTCAGCTAGATGGAAAACAATCACTTCTTTTTGGACTCCGAAATAAACTCAGTTGAATGAGTTGCAATTACTTAGATTCCTTAAAATGTCAGTTTAGCTCAGATATTGAACATTTCATAGACGATACATTTTCCAGCTGACGAGCTTAGGTTTTCTCAAAATCAGTTTGCCGGCAACGAGACAGTTTGCAAAGTTCTGATATGTTTTAGCACTTGACAGATAGCTGTATGTTCGTTTCCAGCAGCGCTTCTAAAGTTTGAAGTCGCTAAAGTGATATGCTACCAAATGCTGCATAAATTTCGCTTGCATGAAGACAGCGTAGGCTTTTTCATTTCAAACTTTTAAACAAAACTTAAAAACTTTTCTATCCTCTCTAAATTTTCAACACAAATCTTTTAGCGAAAATTTCCAAAGCCATGAATGAGCCATGAATGCGAGAGGCATTTTGTTTTCTTACAACTCAGAGATATTCATAACACCTATACAAAACAGACTTCACACTTTTGAATGACTGGGTACTGCAAAGCCAATATAGCAAGCTGGTCGCATATTAGATGACTTAAAAGAAGGGGTTAAGCAAAGACCACTAGTCTTTGCATCTCTGATACTTGAAAACGAATGTAGTAAACAGTGCATGAGATCTCTTTGACTCGATTTGCTTGATTGGAACTCGCCAGAATGGTCACCGGCATGCACTTGTTAGCAGCGCGTGAGTTTAAAACTCAAGGACAGCCAGCCTCTTGAGAAATAAGATTTGTTTTGTTTTTTTCTTTAAGTACATTAAATCTCACCTTATATTCCTGTCTTTGAATTTCTGCTGTAAGTTCAACAATTTTTTACGAAAAGGGTAACGAAGCCACCAGTAACACACAAGAAACCATCGCAGGCGGTTACACCTCTGCGCTCCGAGCACAAATATGGGTCTAACATTTGGCACAAAAGAATAATTTTACTTTGTTTCAATCAAGCGATCGTATTCTCTTAGTTTCAATAAACAAACTCTGTTCAAAGCTCAACCAATCAAAATAAAAAGACGTATCTAAACTTGACATTCATCAAAAGCATAGTCTGAAAAAAATTAAAAAAAAAATTTTTTTTTTGGTTTTTAGACATTCAACTGCCCATTTGAAGCAAATTCAATTTTTTTACAGCTTCTTGTTATCCTTCGACTCGCAGCTGAAGCGTAATTAGATGAACGGTAATGAACCTCACGAATGTTTGATCTGTACTCGAGCATGTTAATTATGTCCCTCAATTGCAATTAACGCCACGTGTGCAATTGTTTACTCAGTATACGCGTGGCAGGTGTGTTATTGTTCTCATTTACCTTGGCCAATCTCGTTTTCGCGCCCTCACGAATTGATTTACTCGCAAAAGCCTGCTAGCATTTGGCTTTTTTGCCGCCGCGTCTTTAGCGATATAATTTTCAGGTGGTGTTGTCTTTCATTCGCGTCGCTGGATAAAGGAATCAATTAAACCACCACGTGCGCATCTAAAAGTAAAAGATATAACGAGGTGTCATCGAATTCTAACCGTCATCAACCGTGGGAATTTTCAGACTTCCCTTACGTTCCTTGTCCGTTAAAAGTCAAGGGAAAAAATTCGATGCGAAATGATGATAACCTGTTCAGAAAATAATAATAATTTTTTAACTTCAAAATTAGAGAAATCACAATAACTTGATTGATATTAAATCTCTTACTCGTACACATCAACTCGGAAGAGAAATGAGTGAAGCGTGGCTTACATTTCTTGAGAATTAAAACGAGGTCACCCTCTCAGTTGAATAGGGTACAAGTAAGCCATGTGCTCAATCTAATATTTCGTGAAATCGGCGTTTATAATTTTTCACTTTCGGGTGATGGTTTTCATGAAAAATCACTTTTTCAAAAAATTGATGTTATGACAATCTGTAACTACAATAGTATGAAACTTTTAATTTCAACGTTCATAGATGACCCGCAGTTCAGCAGGTCTTTGAAAGCGTTCATGTACGAAGTGTACAACACCAGTTTTTCTTTGTTTATTTGTTTGAGTTAGAATCCAAGCTGAGAATTCGACCCAAATCTCGTCTTTCCCACGGGTTGTTTATGCTTCGAACAAATGATCGAGCACGCGACCATCGTTCACGCGTACGTGATCGTACTCTCGAACGTTTGATCATTTCATCGCACACGTGTGGGTGTTGCCGTGACACGTGTCACTTTTCGTTCGATATGAAATCTTTTGTTTGACACGATGCCGAAGAAACAGGTGTATGGCGAAATCATGATCGGTTCCCACGGTCCCATCGATCTTTTTCAGCCCTAATAAACTTGTTTGTCGTGGTATAAAGAGGTTCGTCACACCTGCAGAGCTGCGCTTTTACAGCATCGTTTTTCTCTTTGTTCCATGCGCGTGGCAAGTGTTTTCTGGGCTAGTATTAATCTTTTGCAAACCAAATCTCTGTACAAACGCTTTTGAGAATGTTAATACTAGCAGGAAGCTTGTCGCTTTTTAATCTATTTTGGGCTTTGCTTGTAACCAAGATTACTGTATTCAGTTGATAGAGCATTTGACTCTTGAAATCTGACTCAGACAATTTTCTTTGTTCTTCATTTGTAACAAATGTTTAGCATTATTGTCATCAACCGTTTGAAGGATGTGCTGCTAATGAAGACGCGCCATTTAACAGCCCTGAACATCTGGGTTTGCCGCTCATCTCGTTGTGTGTGCAGCAGCACTCAGACGTCCATCATTAATGTTCTTCTGTGTAAGGTCCAATATTAGCGGCGTACTGAAAAACATTTCGGTAATGTGGAAAACTGCTTTAAAAGAGCTTAAACCGCAAGAAAATAGGGAGTAAATCATTTGACTTCTAAGAGTGACCTACATCTAACTTCTCTCTACAGTATCACTCCTAAGTCACAAATTAAGTTCACAAGGATAAAGGAAATAATCACGGACTAAAGAAGCTCTTGATTGTGAAACAGATTCTCCTTACCAGCACCTTAGAAAATGT